CGTGAGTGACGTTGCACATATGTGTATGTATGTAGATACTAATGTTCTGTTCATATGTATGTACCTTTATAGTATGTACATATATAAAGATGCAGCGAATTTGTTTGCGATGGCAACCAAATACGCTCAATTAACGCCACGAGCGGCAAACTTAAATGAAGCGGTGTTCACACGATGCGATCTTTATTTATTTTATTTATTTATTTGTTACAGTCTTACGACCTAATAATACAACTATGATATTCGTAGTTGTGTATATGAATTTTAATGTTCTTATTGTAAACTATGTATACAATAACTATATATATTATATTACATATGTCTATATCAGGCCGCATGGATAAAAATATGCATTTGCCCCCTCCAAAAAGTTCCGACCTTCCACTTTAATTTATTTGAATAATCGAGTACAAGATCGGAAATTCCCAGAAAACGCAATTGCAGTTCCCAATCATACGACAGAGCAGGCAAATTAGGCAAGTGGCCTGAAGAGGCAAGTTCCAGGCCATATTGTTAGGGCAGTTGGAAAGCACTAGTTTCCAATGTGCACCCTCACTTCTCATATTGTTGGTTCGGTTCGATGAGGATTTCCGATGTTATACACGCTGTCTGAATGAACTAGATCCAGAGCAGCACTGTTTGATAGGGTAGGAGGACGGTGCTTCGGGGATTGGTGTTTCGACTCTGTCAAGATTTGCAGATTCATCAAGCTGTCTGAGTGGCTTGGATCCAGAGCAACCCGGCCGGATGGAAAGGATTTGTTTCCATGCCGAGCCTCTATCTGATAGGTAGTGTTCGACAGTGATCAAGTAATGATCTCTGGAAGCTGGCAATGCTTTCACAATTTCTTGTTTGTGGCGGTAGTTCGTTAAAACACTTTAATCCTTTATAGAATATGTTCATTTTATCCACTTCTGTCCTATATAACGGCAATCTAAAGCTATTATTTTTATTTTAAAGCTATTTATTATTATGTATGAATGAGTTTCATTTATATATCTGAGATTGTCGCTCAGGTAGTCCGGCAACCGACCATTCTTTATATTGAATACGAATTTCATGGCGTGATAAAAAATTTGCTGCTTAACACTCAGCCAGTTCATATCGGCGAGCATCTCTCGTGTGGCAATTTTAGAGGCGATTCAAAAAGTTGACTGCACCCCAACTTCATTGGAAAAGATTAGTTGAGAGGCCATTCACACCAGGCGGTTGTTGCTTTCAACTAAAAGTTGCCGGGAAAATCGCCTCATGTAAACACGGTATGAGACAAACCTTTTTTGTTTTGTTTTTTGTTTGGTGGCACACAGTCTCAACTGACGCTTAGTGGAGACGTACAGTGGTGCTGTGTGATAAATATTTTGCTAAAATTAAATTGGCCAAATGTGTGTGTGGCTCGACCCTATTAAGTTGGCATTTCAGGGTACTATTTTATATATATATAAGAAAAATTTGAAAGGAAAGGGGG